GGGAAAAAACAAAAGTGAAACCTAAGGCACTAGTGTGGCACCAGTCGAAGACTTTTCGATGCTTAAGTAAGCCGAATGTAAATAGGAGAGAGTAATTGGACATAGTAAGGGTACTTGTGCCAAGTTACTATTGTTGTGAAAAATATAGTTTTCCTCTTTCCGTAAAGCCAAATACAAAATATTTATATTATTAATAACATATAAACAAATTGAAAAGCTTTGAAGGTATAATGAAATTGAAGAAAACAAAATAATAGGTAAGTAAAAGGAAAATAAATAATAAGTAAGAAGGTGAGTTTGGTACGGTGAAGCACGTCAAAGACGTTGTCCTAAAGCCTTTGTAGCCTCCTTACGTGTAGGTACTGACGGTCTACAAGACTCCAAGATACGACCCCTTATACACAAACTCAAGATCCGCTATGAGCACGTTCATAGACAGATATAGGAATCAAAGTCACATAACTATTGCCCAAAATAATAATAATATAAAGTAGAGAATATATGTAAAAGTATAAAAGGAGAGAATTAGAATGTGTATGTGATATTCTGATAGTGTATTGTGGTTGTTTCAAATGTGAAGGAGGAGTAGCCTTTTATAGGCATCAAAAAACATGTAACCTTCACCAACCATAAAAGTTCACCAACCAAAAAAATTAAGGCATTCACCAACCATAAATAAAACCTGAATATTAAATATTTATAACCCCCACAATAAATAAAATAAAATAACCAAAATAATTAAATAAATAAAACGGTTAAATTTTTAAAACCTTTTAAAATTCCAACAACTATTACCTGGTATCTTGGGGCAAGAACCCTTTCTATAGGCTTTTTGGGTGGAGTAACTTGTGTTATATTTCGATGTGGGACTTTGTGCACATGGCACGAAAGGCCGCCACATGCCCATGCGAAGAATAACTGAGCCATATTGAGAGGGTCCGGTCAAATATGGTATAAACAATAAGAATTCATAGAAGAAACTTATGGGAAAAAGGAAGAAATTGGTAGACTCTATTTGCCGCCCATTGTATTGATTTGATATTGGTAAAGTTTGTTTATGAGCATACATGAGTGCTTACTTTGATGAGGCATTACACTGACAACAAGGAGATCATACGTCTAGCAATGACACGGTTTGCCACAAGTTTTCTCACACTTCAAAGCATTTTTAAGATTAAGTAATGTCTTATTTCTATATTTACCTCCTAAGAATGGACGAGTGAAGTGGGTTTTCTTTTTTATGATTGTTTTTGTGTTTGGTGAATTTTGAATTATGAATTGTGAATGATCTTTGCACAAGACAATCATTGTGTTGGAATTCTATTTGAATTTAATAATATTGTAGGCTATCTTTTTATTTTTATTTTTATTTATTTTTTAAGTTTACCTATTGTTATCAAATGATAATTAAGCACGACATCAAATGGGATCGGTACACCACGATCTCTATACTCCGTAATTTCATGTGTACACGGTAATTGGTAGGTTCGACGACTAACACAACCACATGATAAAGCATCCATCTTATTCATCTCTAATATGTTTTAAAATAAATTATAATGTTAACTATGTAGGCCATATATGTACATGCAATAAGTAAACTGAATTTACCTTTTTGACTTGCACACAATTACACTCAAAACCATTATAGAAACAAATCTACTAACTCTCTCAACTCCGGATGCTTGACCCTATGTTGAATAAAACATCGACTATTTTCAAAATATGTCTTAATCTCTGTGTGCTCCAGCTCTAACAAGGAGTGAATCTACCCACGATCTCTCGAACATAAGTTGACTCAAGCAAAGTTGATATAGTTTGGAAGCAAAATAAATTATAAAATTAACAATAAAAAGTGGACTAAAATACTTACCTATTTGATATCTTCGATTCAAGATGCATACAAGTGTATGTCCATGTTGCCACAAACATATCCTTAAATGGATTTAATCAACTGTCATGTATGTATTCGAGTGCCTTTTTAAATTCACTAAACTTAGACTCAATCTGTCACAAACCTCCTTCGTTTCTAAACCAACCAAAGTATTTCAATCCCCATTAAATTGCTTCTCTTGTTTGAGGGTCCCAAATAACTTCGTGCAGTTTGCAAACACTCCTTTATTAATATGTCATATACATAATAAATGTTGTGCACTTGGAAATATAGACCTAATAGAATTTATGAGTGCTAACTCTCGATTGGTGACAATAACACCAAGAAGACAATTATCATCCAACAACCTCCTTAATCTAGTCAAAGCTCATGTGTAATTGTCTTCCTTCTCAGCATTGATATACACATTGGCGACAGAGAATGTCATATTAGTAGATGTCACCCCAACAATTTGCAATAGTAGGAACCATTGCTTATGAGTCTTATAGGTGCAATCCATGATAAGTACATGTGAAAATGCCCACAAAATCTCAATATTAACTTGATGTATCCAAAACAAGTCAGTTACAATATCACCAGATGTCCTATGCTACTCAATATAATTGTGTTTGGACAAATTAGTAAGCATTTGTTGCATTTATGTTCTCCCATCAAATTCTTTGGTTCTATTTCGGATCCTAGCATTGAATATTGTCTTCATAGTTGAAATATTCATTACATCTATATCCTTCACGATGACCGAAATATCTATGGGTTTCACCAAACTCTTAGACATGTCAACGAAATTCTCCTCTTTAGAAAGTCGCCTCACAAATGAATGACCTTAAAGATACTCTGAAACAACATGGTTATGTACTATGTAAAACTTCCAATCATCCTCATCACCAATATTGACACCCTTTAATAAGAATGGACATCCATATTTCTTGGTACCGGTGTCCCTCGAACACTTTTTCATATCAACATTTGCATATGACCTTACACCATTTGTCTCACTAGACTTGCAAGGCTCATATTTACTGTTGCACTGACCTCCAAAATCAGACCTTCTAATAACAATTATGATATTATTCATTTTTCCTTATGCACGAGTCCATCTAATTAATGCATCTCTAACTTTGAATATCTATACATTAAACTCATCTAACAAGGTGAAATTTGGTCATATGATACCAAACCCTGTTCCACGTTACGGTGGAAATTCACCACATCTTAAGTTACGGCCAGTCAAATACAACCGAAATAGGTTCAATGTTTTAGTAGAATGCCATCGAATTTGCCTATTGCGTTTGGTATTGGTCTTCTGCATGTAACCAGCGACCACCATGCAACCCTAAACTTGAAAAACACCAAAAAATTAACTCACACCCCCTTTGAAGCCTCCCTAACTTCAGTCTAAATAAATATTATGTATGTTTCACCAATATAAGCGTATAAACCTTGTTAGGGTTGTAGGAAGATATGATGGTTTGTGAAAAAAGTCTAACTAGGGGTTGCAATAATGTATGTGTGGTGTATTGAGTAAGTGCCAGTTTGGCATTGCTTATTTGGGGCGATAAGTGATTTTTTTAAAATTTTGAGAAACCCAACCCGTTTGGTAAACTGCGAAAAAATCACTTATTGTTAAAAATTGCTGTGAGAGAAAGCTATAAGGGAAAGCAGCCAATGAGGTGCTTTCATTTTCTGATTATGCAGGAATCAGTTTCGAAGAAGTGTTGGGTTTAATGATTATGCAGCAATCATTTTCTGATTTTGCGTAAAATCAATACCAACAACACTTTTAACAAAAATTTTACCAAACGCCAAACTGCTTTCTCTCACAGCTGATTTCTCTCACAGCAAATCTGACAGCGATTATTTTCACAGCACAGCAATGCCAAACTGGCCCTAAATTTAATTTATATTTTAAATGTTTTTTTTGTCCTTAATGGTAATTATGGACAAGGATAAAATAAGTTATTCATGTTTAAAATTAGTGTGAGGATTAAAAGAACAAATTGTGAGGTTCAAATAAAATCACCCTCTCTCTCTCTCTCTCTCTCTCTCATGCCCCCTTTTGCAATCATAAAGACTCTTCTAGATATTTTAGATTCAATATACTCCTCGGGAGCCATCTTGGACGAGTTTCGAATTATTTAGGAGCCATTAGCGATAAAAAAAAACCTTAATTTCATTTTTTCAATCACATCTTGGTAGATTATTCTCTATAATTTAGGTTGAGAATTGAGGTATTTTCTTGGTCAAAAAATTATTTATTTTTCTTGAGTTTGTTAGAGCATCTCGAATCGACTAGTTAAATGACAGGTGACATAGCAAACGGTAACAATTGAAGTTGCTTGGAGATCAAACCGAGTTGTCATTGCTGGCATGGAAAAGAAGGCAACAAAGACGTCAAAATTGACAGCAACATACTGAAGCGTTATTTCTTTGTTTTGAATTTTTCATTTTCTTTAGCCCCACTTAGCTTTAATTACTGTTTATTGTCTTTGATCGGTGCCATCGGATTTTTAATTCTTCTAACGCCACCAGCTTTCATAGTTTTTTAAACCCATTAAAAAATGATAGTAAAATATTAGTAGTTTTTAACATTTCGAATGGAGTATAGAGTTATACAATATGTCAAATAGCCACATCAACCATCAAATTCAAATGAGGAGTTTGTATTTGACATCCCTTAATAAGTTTTTGTCTGATATTAAAATCTGGAAATTGGACGAATAATCAATCGAATACACGAAAGTTCGGAGTAGCAGAGTCATAGATAGCTCACAGGGTCATAGGCACGTGAAATTTTGATTAGGAACCAACGCCAGAACGTGGACACACATTTACCTTACAGCACATCGGCACGTGACATCGTGACTAGCTTTAAACCACTGAAATGGAGCGTGCTCCGCAGTCTCCATAGCAGCACGTGGATGCCAAACCAAAGCGGCTGCCCCACGTCTCCTCTCTCTCTCCTCTCTCTGTGTGTCCAAAAAATGGTCTCAAATCCCAAAGAGAGAGAGAGAGAGAGAGAGAGAGAGAGAGAGTGGCGTAGAAATGACTCGAACTCGACGAAAAATTTGGTAATTGCTTTTGCTTCTCTTTTTTTGTTGCCCCTCCCGCCCTTTGCTCCCTCGCTTTGTCTCTCGATTTCTCCGCCTAAGCTTTCGAGTTTCTGCTCTCAAACCCTAATTTCCTTTTTCTCTCTCTCAAATCCAAATTTCTTATCCATGTGCTATTACGTCGTTGGAGTTTGAACACTTGCATATATCTGGTGCGATGCTCTTTCAATTTTTCTGTTATCGAATGTTTTTTCCTTGTTCGTTTCTTGAGCTTGAGAATCTGTTTGGTTGCCGAGAAATGGAAGGGAAACCACGGAAATTACAATCAGTTGCCTAGTTTCATCCCTCTTTTCTTTTTACTTTTTTTTTTGAAAAAAGGTTGGAATTTTGAAATTTGAAAGTTGGGTTTATTCTTTGCTTGGAAATTGAGAAATCAAAAGTCCTCTGTTGGGGCAGCTCAGCCTGGTACGAGTACGACTTTCATTTTTAGTTTTTTTTTATAGCAAAATTTCACGATTTGGGTTTGCGTAATTTCCTTTGCTCTCTCGGCCTTCATATATGTATATAAGATTTTCACATTTTATCTCTTGGGATTTTTAATTATTCAAATTTTAATTTGAATATTAATATTGTGGATCTCTCTCATATGGATAAAGGTCAGGTGCCATGTGCTTGGGTTCCATGTATTTCCCTATTATTTGATTAATTTATTAACTGTCTTCTCGCGTGCTTCATTGATTAAACACGTTAGTCTGTATAAATCTCTGACCTGGTTTTGTTTCTCTCTTAATTGTATTTCAGATGCACTTTAGTCTCCCCAACTAACTTACCTTGGATCCAGAATTTCTCTGACTGCGACAAAGGTAAGGCTTTCGGGTTTCAGTTTGGATTAACAAGATTATATCATTAGCTGGAATGTACATTTTTCTGGGTATGATTGGCCCGTTCATGGGGAAGCCATTTTTGGGTAATTTATACTACTTTGGTATTTCATTACCTCGCCCGTCTAAGGTTCATACTGGCGTATATGCAATTGTGTGTCTCTTCTCTTTGAAGATTCAATTGAGTACTGGATAATTTGATCTCCTTCAATATTATGATCTGAGAGTTGATCTCAGGGTTCTTTCTTCTTCTTCTTTCTTTCCAAATGATTTGATTGTTGATCTCAACGTCAAGGGAAGTTATCTTTGTTTTTTTTAGGGTTATATTTATTATAGTTTCAGTTATCTTCTTGGTATCGCATTCAATTGTTACGGAGCAATTCTTTGAATTCAGACCACAAATAGGGATCTTTAGACCATAAAGCGTTTCTATAATTTGCTTGCATATACTTGGGCTGGTTGAAAGGAGTTATGTATCTTTCCAGAATTCAACTGAGACTCCAAGGCATTGCAGGAAATAAGAAGTAAAAAAAATGAGACTTCTAGACATGTGGAAGTGGGATGGGATAGGAATGTTCGGTACACAGTTGTACCTCAGTGCCAGCTATTTGCTGCGTCTCAGTATTTCATTTTCCCGAACATGGAAAATGTTACTCCATGTGGTGTATCAGATGGCTATTTATGTTTTAGATGCAACCAGTGGGGAATTGTGTTTCTAGGGTCCTGAAACCTTTGGAGTCCGCTTAAACCAGTGTATATGTATAACTTTGGTCTTGTGCATTTTGGGATGTCAAGTAAGCATATTGAGGAGGGGAGTGCCTTCTCCTACAGGCTACAACAGTTTGTTCTACTTAACGTGTTATATCTGGTTTATGGTTTAGAACTTAAGAGTGTTGATCTCCCGAGAATTACAGTTCTGTCATTAGGTGGAAAAGATTCTGTGACTTCCAATCTGTTCACTCTCTGAAATAAATTTATATAAAAAATAGACCTTAAACCATAGAGGTCTGAAATGTAAAGTATTGCAAACAAGGCCGGTGAGATATAACTCAAATTTGTAACTTACAAACATTCCAAGCAGATCCTTACATTGGCCCACAAAAAGTTTTAAAACAAACTCTTGTCAGTGTCACGCCCACTTTCATAAATTGATCATGTTAGAACCTTTTGAAGTAGTTTGCTGCAATTCCTATTCCATGTTAATCATTTCATTATCTGGTGTATTCAATTTTGGAAGGAAATGTTGTCAGATTTTAAAGTGATGCCTGATTCTGATATAACCTATGAATTCAACCAGTTTACTCACTCTCCTCTTTCTGCAATCCTTGGATTTTTTTATATTTTTCTATATACTGGCTGTCAATTTTTCTTTGCCTTTATTTAAACCTTAATTGGGAATGTCTGTGGGAAGGAAATGATGCCAGATTTTGAAGTGATGCATGATTCACTAGATTGATTCCACTAATATTCAGAAGAATGTAGGATTTTTAGACCTTACTTGCAATGCTTGAAGCTTTTCACATTAGTACTTTGCAACATTTACAGCCTGTGAATTGTCTTTGGCTTTTATTTAAGCTTTACTCTTGGGATATGTCTGTTTCCCGGTCTTGCTAGATTGCAGAGTCCATATTAAGTTAAGCAGCGTAATAGTTTGCAACTAATTAAGTCAGGAGAAATTTGCAATTTGTCAAGCAAGGATGCCTCTGTTTTATATCAGGGTTGAAATGACTGTTCTGGATGGTCTAAATGGCCATAAATCAGTGCTGTCCCATCTCTTGAACTCTATGAAGGCACATGTCCCCTGAATGTGGTCAGGTAAGACGGAAGAGGGCACTTGTTTCTTTGTTTTTTTTTTTTTGACCTTCCCTTGTGAATGGATATACATCCATATCCTGTTCTCCTCCTTGTTACTTAGAAGTATACTATATTAGGAATTGGAATTTTAGAGGAAATTGCAAATATGCATTTCTGGGGTTAAGGGGGGATGTATAGTGAGAACCTTGGTCAATCCCAACTGAGATTACTTGATGAAGGAGATAGTATGAAGTACTAATTCTTAATTTTTTATTATTTTGATAAATGGGGTAGGGGAGATTCAATATTAGGACCTGTTCCAACATTGGAAAGAAAAGTACCACTAGACCAAGAGCTAGTTGGTTACCAAGAGTTTTCAGTGTCCTAAGATTCTCTCACTTGGTATCTGATGCTTTTGTTACATGCTATGAGGACTCAGGATTCCCTTTTTCTTTTAATTATTTTGGCCAACTATTGATATTTTTAAGTTTCAAAGCTTGTCAACTAACTCCATCTTCTGTATGTGCTGCTTTGTATCCATTGTGAGGCGTGTTCCTCCCCAGATAACCAGTTCTAATAATTGGTGATTCGTCTTGTGGTTTATTTTTCGGATGCAAGGTTCTGATTTCTTGTTATTCTTTGAGACTTTGATAATTGTTGCACAGAATTGGCATCTGCAGTAGTAGGATGAACTTTACTCTACCAATGTTGGTGTGGAAGTTCCTGGTGTTCTGTCTGCTGTTATACGTGTGTGTGTCTGGATTATGCTGGTTCTTATAAATTTCGCAATATGGTTTGCAGGTGAAGCCTGAAAATGGCAAAAGGTAGCAGGGGACGACGCAGGATTGCTTCCCGAAGATACAGACCAACTCCATACCCATTGCGCTCTAATCAAGATATATTGGAGGATCTGTGCCCGAAGAAATGCTCCAGAGATTTGGAGAAAAAAGACTGGGATGATGCGACATGTTCTGTGTGCATGGAGTATCCTCACAATGCCGTTCTTCTCCTATGTTCCTCACATGACAAGGGATGCCGACCCTACATGTGTGGAACTAGTTTCCGGCATTCCAACTGTCTTGGCCAGTACAAGAAAGCTTATACCAAAATGGTGTCATCTGATCATGGACAACCATTGCTTGGTTCCGATAACAATCCAATTGTGCTACCAGATTCTGAATGGCCAGCACAGAAGTGTGAAGTCTCAGAGCTTGCATGCCCCCTCTGCAGGGGAAAGGTGAAGGGATGGACTGTTCTTGAACCAGCACGAGATTATCTAAATGCAAAAAAGAGAAGCTGCATGCAAGAGAATTGCTCATTTGTCGGAAATTACAAGGAGCTTAAGAGGCATGTGAGGGCAGAACACCCCTCTGCACGGCCGCGTGAAGTGGATCCAGTACTCGAACAGAAATGGAGAAGGCTTGAACATGAGCGGGAGACGGATGATGTGATCAGCACAATACAGTCTTCCATGCCAGGGGCAATGGTTTTTGGAGATTACGTAATAGAAGGAAATAATTATGGATTTGATACGGACGAAGAGGATGGTGGTTTCGATGCGGAAGCTGGGGAAAGGAATGGAGGATTTGGGTTGGGCTTTGATGGTAATCTGGTGAATGTCTTTTTCCTATTGCATGCATTTGGGTCATCAGGGACTGGACGACTGAGGCAGCCTGAGAGGGCATTGCACCACCCATCGGACGGTAGTGCAGTTGGCATCCGGCACAGCACTCCTATTGGTGGTTCGGATTCCTCAGATCAAGATGATGAGAATGACAGTAATGGTGATAATGCTGGTGGTGGTATGTCATTGGTGAGTCGACTCCGCCGTCATGGCAGGGTGTTGTTGGGACGCTCTGGGAGGAGACGAAGGCGTAGAGAAGGAAATAGTGATCAAACATGAACTGAATCGTGGTAAGAATGGGGGGAATTTAGGAAACCTTGCGTAGGCACACAAATTTTAGGAGTGATTTGCACAAAAACAAATAAAAGAAGTTATGATTTTAACTTTCTCGCCTTTGCATTGGATTTATTTGTCATTTAGAAAGCTGGGAAAAAAGGAAAATGGAGATGATGGTTGTTCCTTTTCCCTCTGTTGTGTAATATATTTTCAAATGTAATTTTTAACTTCCCGTTTACCTTAATGTATGAATATAAATTTCCTTCTGTGTATGTGATATCTCTAACAGAACTCGGCCTCTCTCTCTCCTACCACTAATTTTTCTTTCCGTCTTTCTCTCTCTTTATAATTTGGCCAAAATAAATTAGGTTGAAGCTTTTGGTTTGGACCAATCACTGGAAGGAGCTTCATCTGATGGAAATAGATTCAGTTACCTCAAAAGCTTTGAATAAATGAATGAATGAGGTCTGCAACCTGATAGCCTTGCAACTTCCAATGCATGGGCAGTTACTCGGGGAAGAGATAAGGCGGCTAACTTTGCCTTGGAAATTTGGTGGTATTTTTGTATGAAAAAGCTTGGACACTTTTCTTCGTTTTCTTTTCTTTTTGGGTAATTACATAATGTATAAAAATGCCGTTTTTCAACTATTATTCTTTTAATTTTTTTATAAATGATTAATTTAAAAATAAGGAGACCTTCGACCAGTGTCCAAGCTTTTTGGCTGGTGGTGCGACCCCCTGGAGTTGCCCACCAGCTGCTCGACGGAAGTCCAGAGAAGGCGCGCAGCTTGACATTTTTATATATAAAAAAAGGCCTGGGAAAACCAAGCCCATTATTATAAATTCAAAACGAGCCCATTAAACTCACCGACAATGAAAAGAGGCAGCCAAGCGTTGGAACACTAAACCCACCGTTTCACTAACAGCAGGCTAATAACAAAACGGTGTGTATTGTTTGTTAGGGCAGCAAGACAAGCCAGACATCGTCTTCTTCGCCAGGGCTCCTGCAACTCAGAAAACTCGTCGCAAGGCTAAGCTAACATATCTACCTAGCCGGTCAGCAGCCCAGCCTGCCCTCTGTGTAGAACCACCCCTTGCAGTCGCTCTTATCTCCACTCCAGCCACCCTCCTCACTCCTCACCTTCAGCCATACCCATGCCCCATTGCTGCCGCCGCTGCTAGCTTTGTAAGTTCTTCTTCTTCTTTCTCTTCTTTTAATTGAATTTTTTATTCTCCTTTTTTTAAAATTTAAGATTTAGGGTTCTTATATGATAAAATAAAAAATAAAAAATAAAGGATTTTGACATTACAGACTTGTGTGGTGGAAATGTATGGGACGAACATTTGCTTCTTTTGGTTGTGCTTTGATATTCAATGAGTGCTATTTCTGTGTATTTTTCAATTGTAATAGCTTCTGAAAAGTGAAAACTATAGAGTCTAGTAGTCATTGAAGATTCAAAGGGGCAGCGAAACTTTTAACATAATAAGGACAGTGAAGAGACTTCTTTTTATAGTTTTGTTAACAACTTTGGGCTTCCTTTTAGTGTAGGCGCATCAATGGCGGGAGGCAAAACAAAGAAAGAGAAGGCGAGGCCAGCAGGGCACACGCCTTACCAAGGAGGCATATCGTTCCACAAGTCCAAAGGACAGCACATACTCAAGAATCCGTTACTGGTGGACTCCATAGTCCAGAAGTCAGGTATCAAATCCACCGATGTCATCCTAGAGATTGGTCCTGGTACTGGTAATCTCACCAAGAAGCTTCTAGAAGTTGGTAAGAGGGTAATTGCTGTTGAGATTGACGCTCGAATGGTTCTCGAGCTGCAGAGACGATTTCAGGGCACTCCTCACTCCAACCGCTTGCAGGTACCACGTTTTTCGTGCTTCTTTCTCAAATTTTTTATTTTTTCAACCTAAATGGTTCTCGAATGGTTATTGAGTTGTTATACTCAGTTTGTAAGTTGATTCCGTTTGTATGTTGATACCGAGGATTGCTTATCCTCATGATTATCAATATAAACCATTTATATATATTTTTTTAAATAATTGCAATTAGTGTTTCAGTGAATATGATAATTTAGAAAGTGTGAACTATTATGCCATGAAGGAATTCTCAAATTCTGTTGTATGATATGTTATGCATGATGCGATGTGTTGTTGATGATTTTCATTGAATACAAATAGAGGATTTGTTTGCTATGTCCACAGGTTATTCAAGGAGATGTGCTAAAGACTGAGCTTCCCTATTTTGATATATGCGTAGCAAATATCCCTTATCAAATCTCATCTCCCCTCACATTCAAGTTATTGAAGCACCAACCTGCTTTCAGATGTGCCATTATAATGTTCCAAAGGGAATTTGCAATGAGACTGGTTGCGCAGCCTGGTGACAAGCTCTACTGTCGTCTTACCGTCAACACGCAACTCTTGTCTCGGGTCTCCCACCTCCTCAAAGTTGGAAGGAACAACTTTCGCCCTCCGCCTAAGGTAGATTCCTCTGTCGTTCGAATTGAACCCAGGAAACCGCCTTTTGAAGTGAACCAAAAGGAGTGGGATGGCTTTTTGCGGATCTGTTTCAATAGGAAGAACAAAACGCTTGGCTCAATTTTTAGGCAGAAAAGTGTCATCAATTTACTAGAGAAGAATTACAAGACCTTGCAGGCACTTAATCTTGCACCAGCCCAACAAGGTGCCTTGGAGGATACTAATGATGTGATGGATTTTTCAGATGAGGACATAGAGATGGATGATGATGGAGTGGATGATGGAATGGAAGTGGAGGATGGTAATGCAGAAGGGGAGGTATCCGAATTCAAAAAAAAGGTTTTGAGCGTGTTGAAGAAGGCTGGTTTCGAAGGGGAGAGGTCCTCCAAGCTCAAATTACAGCAATTCTTGGACCTGCTTTCCGAGTTCAACAAGGATGGTATACACTTCTCCTAAATTGGGACCCAAATGTTTTGTCTGTTAAGATTATACCCAACCCAATTTTGTTAGGTTTCAAGTCTTTCTCTTGTTTTATTTATTTTGGTTTTTAATGTTTTATAAGAGGGTACGATTGCATAATTTAGTTAGGCATGTGGATGGTTTTCCAATTCCCCTTTTCTAATGCATCTCTATCTCCATCTCTATTATTATAAGGACAGTTACTCCTCTTTGTGTTGAGATTTTATTTGAAGTTTGTTGCCCTATTTTGTTGAGAGTTCGACGGAAAGGAGATAAAATCAAGAAAATGGGGGGTTTTTTTCGTTTCTTATTGCTTTAGGAACCTGGTGAAACAAAATCCTAAGGTCATTTTCTGAAATGCTAATGTCGTAGCATCCAACAGTCACCGTCTATAGCTACAGGAGCCAAGAGTTTGTAACATCATAATCAAGTCATTATGGTAACCACCTCCATTCTCAACCATTTTAGAAATATGCTCATCTTAGAGGTAACCTCAGAATGTTGCTGCTGGAGAAGATGTTTGTAAGGATTGTTTTTGTTGTATTGTTTGGCTCTTCTCTTTTTTTAACAAAACCGTTGTAATCTCCTTAGAAATTTAAGATAGCTTCTAGGGTACATTAAGTGGTTACTGGTTTCCAAAGATCTCTGTGTTGAAACACAGGTAAGTTCATTTGCACGGATTCACATGGGTTGATACACAGGATTGATACAAGCTGAAACATAGGAAATTTGGTGGTATTTTTATTTTCGTTTGAAAAAGCTTGGGACACTTTTTTCTTTCTGTTTTTTTTTTGGGGGGGTAATTATATAATGTATAAAAATGCCGTCCCATTTTTTCAACTATTATTCTATTAATTTTTTTAAATGATTAATTCAAAAATAAGGGGACCTTCCATTCCACACATACATTGCATTTGTGATGTACTTATTTTAATAAGAAACAAAATTAACCAACAGCCTATTTCAATGGACTTATAAAGACTATTGGTTTCACATTTGAATTGCATTTTGATAGTGTGTGAGAAACTTTTCGTCTTGTAATTTAAACTATCGCTTCATGCTTGTACTAAAAACAAAACCAAAAACGAAGCAAGCCTCTTTATTAAATTCCATGGAGACTAGGTTGAATTTATCCAAGGTGTTAAGTTTCTTATACATGCCTGATGCATTTTGTAAGATTGAATAACGACACAACAGTAAGAAGCGAAAAAATTCACAAAAGAATCACTTATTACTAGTGACAGGCATAGGAAGGAAGAAGTAAGAGAGAGATGGACTCATATTTCTACTGAAACAACTTGAATATACATATGCTACGGGAAAGTGATTTTGATCATAAAAGTAACATTCACTTAGAGGTGCTTGCTGGTCGTGCGACCCATGGAGTTGCCCACCAGCTGCTCGACGGAAGTCCAGAGAAGAAGAAGCGCAGCTTTTTTTTTTGGTCTTTGAAAAATAATAATAATAAACAGCCTACCAAAACGACATCGTTTTTATTAAAATGACCTGTTTAAAACCACGCCGTTTTGGGCCAGGACTTAAAAAAAATAAATAAGTAGTTTCAGCTTCAGCATATTCAAAACCCTTCCAAAACCCCAATTCTGCAAATTGAGAGATTGGAGAAAGTTCCTTCGGACAGAGATTTCGAGTCTCGGAACGAATCCACTATTTGCAGGTTTCTCTGTTTTTTCTTTCAGTTTCTTTTTCCTCTGCAAGTCTGCTTCGTTTTCTCTGGTAATGGATTGTAAATTTGATGGATCAAGTACTCCTAAATTTACTACTGGATCCACTACTGTGCATTGGGGAATTTTCCTCTATGAATACTTGTCTGGCTTTGTTATATGAGAAATTATAATTTATGGCTGATTATGTTCTTGGTGTTCTGTGTGTGTGTTTGTGTTGACCTTTTAAGAGATTAAGTGAAAAGTGAACAATGAACAAGGATAAGATATTCAAGTTAGCCAAGGGCTTCAGGGGAAGGGCCAAGAATTGCATAAGGATTGCCAGAGAGAGGGTGGAGAAGGCCTTGCAGTATTCCTACCGGGATCGCCGCACCAAGAAGCGAGACATGCGCTCCCTGTGGATCCAACGCATCAATGCTGGCACCCGCATCCATGGTGTATGTGTCGAATTGTGTCTATTATCTCATATGTGGTTTGGGAGAATTATAGCAGTCTCGCTTTCAATTGGTTTTGGACTTCAATCTAAGTTATCGTTTTCCTGCCACTGTTGTTTGCTATGTTTATATAGTTATCTTTATCCAGTTGAGTTATTCCTGAGTTCCTTTCTATATTGCCTACAACTTGGATGGAAAAGACTGAGAGAGAAAAATACATGTGAAGAAAGTGGATGATGAGTATTGATTTGCTTAAAGATTGTTATCTTGAGCAATAGGTAGCCAATCTTTGTGTATATAGGTGGTGGTATGGCGGTAGAGTAAAAAGGCCATCCTATTGATATGGCAGCGAGTCTATGACTCTGGTAATGTGGTCCTGTGTCACCATAAGCCTCACCATCAGTAGGGCATGTAGGTATGCTGATGTGGATTTTCTTTAAACAAAATGGGAAAGGACTTGTGTCAGGTCATTTTGGTTGGGGATAATTTCAAGAGACCTTTATTCCCAGCTTGCCCATTTTCAGTCTGAGGCTGAATATCTTGGCTAGCTGTCCCTCTGGCATTCCTTTCAGTCTGAGGTTGCGTTGGAGTCATATATTGTTGAAAATCATGATTATTGAAAATTAAGGACTTAGGTTTTTCAATATGCTGCAGAACAATGAACTTTATATCAGTTTTTTTTGGTTTTAGGAGTTAAAGATGAAAAAACGAGAGACTATTTTTTATGCTAATGTATACATTTTCCTCATAGAATAGTAAGAGAAGCATGGGCCATCTATGCATGGTCATCCTACCTGGGGTAGGGTCTTTTTTGTTAAGTTTTTTTGCCTTTTTTGTCTAGAGGTTGCTTAAGCATAAAAGATCAAGAGGATTGTTGTTTCTCCAATATTGGTTAACATGGAGAGTAAATGTCTAAGAACTTGGTTAGTGAAAAGTACCTGGAGAAAAGTAAAACTAATAGCATGCGAAATTAAGGGTCCTCATTGGAATTGGTTACAAAGATTGTTAGCATGTAAATCCTGTCTGTGGTCTTAAGAACTTTGCTCAATGTTTTCAAATTAACTTCAAGTTTTTAGTTTTGGTTCTCATTGGAATTCTTGGAATTGGTTACAAAGGTTGTTAGCATGTAAATCCTGCCTGTGGTCTTAAGAACTTTGCTTAATGTTTTCAAATTGACTTCAAGTTTTTAGTTTTGACTTGAATATTCTCTCTACTAAACTAGATCCAAATTATATTTTTATGGTTGGCTTTGGAAAGTCTAGGAAGTTGGGGAAAGCTGCAGCAGTTTAGATTAAGATGTAAGGAATCGTATGTATCTTTCTGGACCTTCTGGCCTGAAAGAAGCTGTTGAGCTGTTGGATGGGTAGAAGCTGGAACATATTGCTGATTCGATGATCTTAAGCTATTTGAGTGGTTTTTTGCGATTTCCTGTATAATATTTGTTTTCTAGTGTATTCTGATCTCCCTTTTATTTGGGTTTTACTGTTGTCATCAGGTTAATTATGGGAATTTCATGCATGGGTTGATGAAGGAGAACATTCAGCTGAACAGGAAAGTTTTGTCAGAGCTGTCCATGCACGAACCATACAGTTTCAAGGCCCTTGTAGACATCTCTCGCACTGCCTTCCCTGGGAACAAGAACGTGGTTCATGCTCCCAAAAAGGAAGGCCTTTCAATGCTTGTGTAATTGGCCATTTAGTTAAATCCATCTTTGCTTAATACTTTAGTGCTTGTATGGAACAGAACTTTCTGAGTCTCTTTTTTTGGTATTTTTGTCCTTTAGATTTTGATCAAGATTAATGCTTGTTAATGCAAATTTTAGTGAACCTGCAAGCATTTCTCTTTACTTCCTTCCCCCACCTCCTTATCTGCACTGAGTCCACTCCATTCGGATGGTTGTGTATGGCGTAGACGTTCGTTCATATCATGATCGCGGTTCCATACATATGTATTGTGGGAAAAGATAATGAAGTATCTAGAGGAATCATAATAACCCAGTAGCCTGATAAACACATATTATTTTGAATATATGATGTGTAGATTTTGGGTTGGGTATGTTTGAAAACGTGTATTATAAACTCGTACCCCCCAAACATCATAATTTGTGCAATGAGGCCTTGGCTTATCAGTTAATCATTGACTGTCACGTGAAAAAGTTATCATGTGTGGCATCGCATGATTGATCAAGAATAACAAAACAGTGTTATCTTCGTTTCACACTAGCGTTTCTTCTTAGCTATTGCTTTTGACTTTGAGGTTCTTTAGTTTTATTTGCCATCATGGCCTTTAATGAAGTATTCTCAAGAGTTGAATAAGCACTAACTTTGTCTCAAAGAAACACAATTGAATACAAATACACTTTACATCTCGTTTTTATCATGTGAACTGGCAATACAAAGAAATACAAGTTGCAAATTGGAGGGAAAATGATGAGAATATGAGATGGCCTATTTTATTACTCATTTAATAATTCTATTAATGGGTCAAGGGATACTATCTATTCGCCTAAGTTTAGTCCTTCGTGACATATACAACTAAACACAATTATAGAAAGACTTTCTACATCCATTTACTATTGTACAACTCCCAAAAAGAGAATCTCAACCCGAAATACAAAGAATCAGATCAGAACTTGGTAGGATTGTCTTTTGGATCTTCCTCCAAATTGAGATTTTTCTTCAAAATTACAAAAAAAAACTCATAGTTCAACACATGTATATAAACTTATCTCTTGTTTTTAATGAGTAACTTTAGTGCCAACAAGGTCTAGTTCAATTAAAAGGGTCTTAATTTGCAGACCAGTGATCTCAGATTACGGATATAAATTCCACAAGATCTATGAAATGCCTTTTGATTGTCCTGTATTTATTAGGCCATTAACTGCTTAATGGGATAAGAAATCATGACTAACATGATATTTGCCGCTTATTCGGTGATTGATTTGATCTTCTAATTATTCATATGATTGAATTGAACTTCTAATTATCCATATTAGATCTTGCAAGACTCACAGAGCCAACATGTCAAGTGTCCAGTATTTGTGTTCTCTACTACTAACTTATGTAAAAGGTGTCGTACACTCTTAATCGATGCGTGATGATGAGCTTGTTATTAGTTTCCCGAGTATCAGCTCGCGGATAAATTTATTTTTACACTCTACAATTGTACACGTGTAACATTTTCTTACTGGGCGTAAAATCTATGCTACCACTTATTTAATTCTTTTGGGTCCCCACCCGAATTCTGAGACGAAGGGGGAAAAGCCTAGATATAGACTGTAATGTAGCCCATCCAGCCAATCACACCGAGCCCACATGGCCTTAACAGCTCAGACCAAACAACACAATAAAAGATAGAAAGTCTACCCCAAAACAGCACGGACATCCCTCCCTACCATTTGCAGCCGCTCCGATCTCCACTCCAGCCACCCTCCTCACTCCTCACTCCTCACCTTCAGCCACACGCATGCCGCATTGCTGCCGCTGCTGCTGCTGCTAGCTTTGTAAGTTCTTCTTCTTCTTTCTTTATCTTTTCATCTAAACAATTCTTCGAAATTCTTCATTTTTTCTTCTCCTCTTCTTCTTCTTCTAAACATTTCTCTCACATTCTTCCTATCTTCTTCTTCTTCTTCTGAACTCTTCATTTCTTATGTTCTTGTTCTTTTAATCCTTCATTTCCATTATTTTTCTTCTTTTAATTGAATTTTTATTCTGCTTGTTTCTAATTTAAGATTTAGGGTTCTTATATAATAATAATAAATTAGGGATTTAGGGATTTTGGCATTACAGACTTGTGGGGTGGAAAATGGGAATAACACTTGCTTCTATTGCTTGTGCTTTGATATTCAATAGCAAGGAACTGGATTTTGAAGTTTTTGAACTTGATCATTGACTGACTGCTATTTCTGTGTATTTGTAAATTGTAATAGCTTCTGAAAGTGAAAAATATAGAGACTAGTAGTCATTGAAGATTCAAATGGACAGCGAAACTATTAACATAAGAAGAGACGGTGCAGGGACTTCTTTTATAGTTTAGTTAAGAACTTTGGACTTCCTTTTAGTGTGTACATGAATAGCTTTCTCAGTGCAAAGGCTGTTAATTTACTCATGTGTTTTCTTATAATAAAAAAGTGGCCACCAAGAAATGAAAGAATCTCATGGGTGTGATTAACGGGTTCTGTAAAATTGGAGAAAAACAAAGGAGGCTCTGTCGAAGTTTCAATTGAGGAAAATTGGCTTAAAACTTCGGCCCAACCCGCTTTTAAATACTGGGTCCATGCCTTCCTCAAAGTAGTCGTCGATCTTCTAACTTCACTTTCTTGCATCTTGGAAGCCCCTGTACACCAAAGGTGTAGGCTTTTTGGGATATATGCTTTCTATGTTTGAAAAGAATTTGCAAGTTCGTTACTTGATTGTTTTATATGTTGTTATGATGTCCAATTCAAACAAGTTGTTTACTTATCCTTTTCTGCTGCAGATTCCACCAACATATCTAAGCGTTTGATTTGTAATAGTTGTGAAGCTGCTGCTTTGCTCTTCTGAACCATTTCTAACTGAAACGTTAGCTGTTAAAAGTCAGCTCATCTAAAGACATCAAACATAATTGCTGCAGTTGATGACACTGTCGGAGTCGATTCTTCTAAAGAAAATTGAAAATTTTGGCTCATCTGAAGGCAATTTTGGCAATGTTAAGTACTTATTAATGTCACTAAGGGTGAAGTATGACGACAATGAAATTTCCAAAGCGTTACTTAGTCGTCATATTGACCTTCATCAGCACATCCGTTTGCTATATAGAACGTGTCGGGTTTTCAATTGCATACACTGTTGCCGCTGATGCTGCTGGGGTAAATCAATCAAGTAAAGGCACAATTCTTTCTACATTCTATTATGGCTATGCTTGTTCACAAGTGCCTGGTGGCTGGGCAGCTCAGAAAATCGGGGGAAGGAAGGTTCTTCTCCTTTCATTTGTGTTATGGTCATCGACTTGTGCATTGATTCCTTTGGACCCCAATCGAGTCTTTGTCATGGTGATTGCTAGATTGCTTGTTGGTGTTGCACAAGGTTTCATCTTCCCCTCAATCCACACAGTTCTAGCACAGTGGGTTCCACCACACGAAAGATCCAGATCTGTTTCTCTTACAACTTCTGGTATGTACCTCGGTGCTGCGCCGTCTTTCTTGCTGAGGCAGCACTAGGAGCCATGTGGTCTTTGCTTTGGTTTAAGTATGCCAGTGACCCACCTCGCTCTGAACATCCAAAAGCCACAGCTGCTGGTTTCGGGGAATCAATGCTGCCAATCAAAGGAAGTCAAAAGTTGAAACTAGAAAATGGAGGAAGTTCTGTCAGAACTGCCAAAATTCCATGGAAGAAAATTTTACTCAGTTTGCCAGTCTGGGCAATTGTGGTTAATAATTTCACGTTCCATTATGCTTTATATGTGTTAATGAACTGGCTGCCGACATACTTTGAATTGGGCCTCCAGCTTAGCCTTCAGGAAATGGGTTCTTCTAAGATGTTGCCGTATCTCAACATGTTTATTTTCTCAAATATAGGTGGGGTGGTTGCTGATCACTTGGTCACCAAGAGAATCTTGTCTGTGACTAGAACCCGGAAGCTTTTGAACACCATCGGGTTCATTGTTGCTTCTCTTGCATTGATGGCAATTCCCATATTCAGAACATCTGGTGGGGCTGTTCTCTGCTCTTCTGTGGCTCTCGGTTTCTTGGCACTTGGGAGAGCTGGTTTTGCAGTGAATCACATGGATATTGCCCCAAGATACGCAGGCATTGTGATGGGAGTTTCTAACACTGCTGGTACGTTAGCTGGCATTATTGGAGTTGATCTGACCGGCAAACTTCTTGAAGCTGCAAGAACTGTTGATTCGAGTCTTTCAAGTGCAGAGAGCTGGAGAGTGGTGTTTTTCATTCCGGGTTTGCTTTGCATTTTTAGTTCTTTAGTATTTTTACTATTCTCAACAGGGGAGAGAATTTTTGACTGAGATAGGCTTTTGCATGCGAACCTCTCGAAGCTCCTCAATCGGTATTCGGATTCTTCATTTATAATTGTTTGTGCAATGAGGCTGCTGATGTAGTAGTGTAGCATATAATTGTTGCCTTGGGAAAACATATGAACTTAAAAGCGCCATAAAAGATTGGTATCTAGAAATAGCAGGTCATATTTGGGGATTACAATGCATGCTTAATAAGCTCTCTGATTGCTTCCAGCATATAATTCTTGTGTATGAAGGATAGATGAAATTAATAAGCTCATAAACAATCTGAAATGGTCAGCCTAGACCTGCAAATTATCGATTTTTATAATGTATTTGTTAAATTTGATTCCATCCCCATACCAGGTTTCATCTGGTTAATGGAAATGTTGTTTGTTTGTGGAATATCCAGTTGTAATTGACAGACAATTGATACAATAAAAGAATTAGTGATGGTTCTATAAACATGTGCAACTCCGTATGATGTCCTGGGTTAGGCTTCCTTTGATTTCTTTTTTATATTTCGGATCGAACTTGAGGCTTCTTCCAACTAAGTGCACATCCCATTCTACAAGATTATGCTACATTGAGTTAGTTTCTCTGGAGTTTCGTCCTAGTTGTAACTTTTGGTGATAATTTTGTCTGTCATTTTCAGTTTTCATTTTTTAGTTAGAGATGGAAGTAAAGCATATAGGGAAAAATGAAAACAAATCTTAAGAAACTTTTGTTTTCATTTTCATAAGCTACCCTTGGCACGCATGTGCCAATTGGTTGTTTTTTTTTTTTTTTTTTTCTTCTCAGAATTAAGAAAAAATAACGTGGGTAGTTATGTTCCATAAAAATAAGACTTATTATCTGATTTTGTTTTTAATTTTAATTTTTTTAATATGAAAAAAATGTGAATTTACCATATTATCCTCATTTAATTAATAATTTTAATTCTTAATTTTTGAATTAACCAAAGACATTTTATGGTATTTTAAGTGCTAGTTTGGCATTGCTTATTTGGGGTGATAAGTGATTTTAAAAAAAATTTGAGAAGCCCAACCCGTTTGGTAAACTGTGAGAAAATCACTTATTGTTAAAAATTGATGTGAGAGAAAACTATAAGAGAAAGCAGCTAATGAAGTGCTTTTATTTTATGATTATGCAGGAATCAGTTTCGAAGAGGCTCTGGGTTTAATGATTATGCGGCAATTATTTTCTAATTATGCGTAAAATCAATACCAACAACACTTTTAACAAAAAATTTACCAAACGCCAAACTAAAACTCTATACCATTTAAAAACTATAAACACACCCAAAAAAAACCCAAAAATTGACAACTGTCAATTTTTTTAATTTAATAGTTGTTTTTTAGTTTATTTGTGTGTGTTAAATACCTATATTGTCCTTGTACTATGGATTTAAGAGAGGAAAATCAGATCTGCCAAAAAACCAGATTTGCCATAAAACCAAATATTTCCAGATCTACCAAAAAACCAAATCTGCCAAAAAAATCAAATCTGCCAAAAAACCAAATCAGATTTATTTTCTCTTTTCTCGCTGGTGTTTTCTCTGGTGTTGGAGCAAGAGGAGCTTCCATTGAAGCTCAATCTCAGGTCCAACTATATTCTTCATCTTTAATCTACATTTTTCAATATTTCACCTTTGATTTCTTGTTCTAAAATCGTGCTTCTATTGATTTTTTCTTTTTTCGGATTGTTCAAGACCTCGAACAAACCTCGATCAGATGCTCTTAGCTATACTCCTCATATTCAAGCTCTACTCATCTTTCACCACATCGTCGTTGTTGTTATCGTCGTCGTCGTCGTCGTTTGGTTTGGACTTGACATTTTTGATCTTTTGCTTCAATTATGTGTTTCTCTTCATATTTTAGTTGATTTTCAAAATGTATTTTAAGCTTTGATGATCGGTTTAACTTTTGTTACTATTTCAATTATGAATGTAATTTTTGTTTAACAATGTACTTCTGTGATAGAGTATTAACAATGTACTTCTATGACAGAGTATTAACAATATACTTTTATGACATAATAGTATTAACAATCTTGGCTCAGCTTGTTTTGAGTTGGTCTGGTTTGTTCTTTCTTCATCTTTTCTTTGGTGGACATGTATTACAAATAGCAACATGACAAACATTAATCAACATGACAGTAAACTAGCAGTGTTATTACCCTAGACTGGAATATTACAGGGGTAAACATGCATTAGAAATAGGATGTCATAGGAAATAATAGTGTTATTACCCTATACTAGAACATTACAGGGGTAGATATGCATTAAAAATAGAATATCATAGGAAACTAGCAGTGTTATTACCTTATGCTGAAACATTACATGGGTAGACATGCATTAAAAATAGGATATCATAGGAAACTAGCAATGTTATTACCCTACACTGGAACATTACATGGGTATACATGCATTAGAAATAGGATATCATAGGACACTAGCAGTGTTATTACCATACACTGGAACATTATAACCATTAATCAACATGACAATAAACTAGCAGTGTTATTATCCTAGATTGGTACATTACAGCCATTAATCAACATGACAGTAAATTAGCAATGTTATTACCCTATATTGGAACATTATATAGGTAGACATGCATTAGAAATAGGATATCATAGGAAACTCGCAGTGTTATTACCCTACACTGGAATATTACCGGGGTAAACATGCATTAGAAATAGGATGTTATAGGAAACTCTCAGTGTTATTACCTTACACTGGAACATTACAACCATTAATCAACATGACAGAGCAGTGTTATTACCCTAAACTGGAATATTACAACAATTAATCAACATGACAATAAAGGTGTAGAACATTACAATCATTAATTAACATGACACGTTAATGAAACTACAGTTTTCAAGACTTTTTGTTTGTAATAAATTGTTTGGGTTTTTTTATAAAATTGGGTTGGGCTTGTTTTGGGTGCTATTTGAGTTTTTTTTGTTGGTCTTCTTTTTTAAATTGATCAATGGCAGTCATGTAATTTATAAGAACTTAAACACTAATTTCTTATGTAGTAAATGAGTTTTGGGTGTGTTTCTAAAGTGCATTCCATGTGGGGTTTTTTTATAATTTCAACCCCTATTTTGGGTATATTAGTGAAACTCCCTTTTGATTATGCGTAAAATCAATACCAACAACACTTTTAACAAAAAATTTACCAAACGCCAAACTGCTTTCTCTCACAGCTGATTTCTCTCACAGCAAATCTGACAGCGATTATTTTCACAGCACAGTAATGCCAAACTAGCCCTAAATGTTTCATCATTCTCTCCCTTAGGGGTGTAAGGTGGATTGGAAAATTTGATTCCTACCGATTACGGTCCGAATATTACCAAAAAAAATCCAACTCCGATAAATCCAATATCCGAAAATGCCGAATCTGATATTTCCAATAAATGCATAAAATTCCACAATTCCGATCCGAAAAATTCCGAAGTTTACCGAACCCATTTGGATTCGATTTTTCCAAAGTTTTCCATAAATTTCCGAATTTCTTATTATAATTGCATTATTTTTAGTGTATAGTTCTTATATATGTTTCATTTCTTAGGTCACATACAAATATTCATATATATAAACTAGGCTTTGTCAAAAAATATATTAATCATAATAGTTTATAGCTTTAAGAGTATATATTTTTGGCAAATGTGCTTGTTTGAATATAACAAAAATGCATATGTGTGCTTGTTATATCAAAACGTACTACATAAGTGGTAAATGTAGGGTATACTATTCCATTTTGTATTTTATGTAAGTATGTATTTTAAAATTTCAAACTATCTTCATTTAAACTTTTAATTACATGAAACACCATATATAATATAAATATATTCATTGGAGCTTGACAATTATAGTATTCCAATTGTATAGAGCAAGACTAACATATTAAGATATTGAATGAACAAATAGTATTAGTTCCTTTTGTAAACTTTTAATCCATTATGTTATTTTTAAAATTCCATCATGCACACAACTCAACCTCCCGTTCATATTTCCACCACTTTAGATACGTGTTATATGTACACCCTCTTATAAGGCTTCATTTGGATGAAGAGATTCTAAATCCATGTATGCCAAAATTTGTACAATAAGAAATAAAATAAAATAAAATAATTCAAAAGTCCAACTTAAGCTTCCTTGCACACATTCTCTCTCTTTTATATATATGATATATTAAAATTAAAGACCTTTTTTTATTATTATCAAAAATTAAAAAAGAAGAAGAAGTAAAGAGCTAAATAAAAAAAAGTAAAAGTAAAAACAAAACAAAACGCTCCATCTCCCACTTATCTCTCCCTCTTTCTTTTCTTTATTTAATTTCTCAATTTCCCACTTACCCTCATTTCATTTGATTATTTTCCCCCCCTCTCTCTCTTTCAATACTCACATTTTTAACCCTAAGTAACACATCTTTTTAATTTTTTTTTTTCATTTGCAGCTGCCGCACCCTTTTGGTTTTTTTTTTTTCTCGCTTGGGTTCGATTGGTTGGTCAACTGATTGGGTTTAATTGTGTTCTATTTGACAATGATGCTTGTGCTATGTCTTTGGAGATGTTGAATTCATATGGTGTGAAAATGCTGAGTTATTAGGTGGAGGGATGGTTATGTTCTGAAGAATTCAAAACTTCGGAATGGGAAAGTTCCGAATTTTTCCAGAATTTTTTGGAATCGAAATCAAAAGTGTTTATTGAATTTTGAAGGGTTTTGGACGGAAATTGGAATGGCTATTTCCGATCCGATCGGGCCAAATTACAGGCCTAGTTATAAGCTTTGGTATTTGGGTTGTCAGATTTTGGGGGCTTGTATTTTCTCCCCAGCCGTTGAGATCACTTAAATGGCTGAGATGGAGCCTCAAATAGTTCCCACCTTAGCTGCGCGCTAAATTCAAAATCTTCAAACTGGGTTGGACCTAAATTATAGTTGGGCGTGAACTTTTTGTCCAATTCCACTGAGTGGGCCTAATCTAAAGCCTTAGCCCACCCATTTCCACATGGACTACCCAAATCCAGTAAATTGAACCGGGTTTTCAATTTCTTGAGCGA